TATATCTTTTTATGTTTAGGTCTTGGATGTGGATTGCTATACACTGCAACAGTGACCATTACATGCCAGTATTTTGACAGCCGCCGAGGCCTTGCACTTGGCCTGATTTCAACAGGTACATTTCCTTCCTTCCTTTTTCTCTCTCTCTTCGTCCTTTCTCTCTTTCTTTCTTCTCTTCTCCTTCTCCTTCTCTTTCCTTCCTTCCTTCCTCCTGCTTGGCTTGATTTCAGCTGGTACATTTTCTTTTCTCCCTTCCCTTCCCTTCCCCTCCTTTCCCCTCCTCCCTCCCTCCCTCCCTCCTTCTTTCCCTCCTTTCGTTTTTTGAGATATCATCTAACTGTGTAGCTCAGGCTGGCCTTGAACTCTCAATCCTCCTGCTTCAGTTTCCCAAGTGCTTTGGTTACAGATGAGTGCTACCATCCCTGGTTTATAACAGGTACACTTTCCAAATAAGTATTGTCCCTATTTAGCCTTTTAAATAAAGTTAAAATTTACCAAGTACAGATATGCATAGCCATCCATTACCTACCATGTCAGATAGCAAAATGATTCTTTTATTCTACTCCTAGAAGAATTATTTTACCATAAAATATATATATGAAAAATCCAGGGCAATATATATCCAATTTAAATATATGAAAAGGAAGCTTATGGGCTCAGTACATTGAGAGCCACATACTGGTGAAGGCTTTGCTAAAAGAGACTGCTTCTGTAAACACCTTATTCTGAGGAAAATAAGAGGAAGGGCAGGAAAACAGACAACCCCAAGGGCACTGGCAGAAAGACTGGTGCTGGCCCTCTTTTTACCTGCACATATTATGGAACTTATAATTTCTCTCCTGATTTCTCAACACATTTCCCTGGCCTATGTGCACATCCAGGCAACAGGCTGTTTACTCTTATTCCTTTAACAATTAATAGATGATCACAGAAGAGAAAATGTACTGATAAAATACAGATTTTAAATGTGAAAGCCTTCTGGATTCCTCCAGGGGTTTTAAAGTGGTGTTTCACTTTTCAGATGAATTTGTAAAAAGCTGCTTAGGGAACTGATCAAAATTATTGTGGCTAATATTTTACGAGTTTATTTAGGGAATACAGTTGCCAAGTTACCAAAAGCTGTAAGTTTACATAAGCTACTTGGTGGTTGGCGGATGTTCCTGGGAGGTCAGGCTCTTTGACAGGCTACAGGATCTACACCCATGCTTTATTCTGAGGACACCCCAGGGCAACAAGGAGATTACTGGCTGAACTGGACCGAGTTGGCCATTTACTCACAGTGATTTAAGGATGGACTGCCAGGTGGGAAATGTGAGCCATGGTTCAGGGAGAGACAAGGCCAGAGTTTGAAGACCTAGCCAAGAAATAGGAGAAAGAACACAAAACCAACAGATGAGGAATGTAGGATGGTTGGAATGCAGTCGAAAGAACCTTTTTGGATCACACGTGAATATGTCGGGGTCTGAGAGTAGTTCTGGTGACCTAGGGGACAAAAGGTCTCACCTGTACTGTGCTCATATGGAGGCAGAACATGTAGAGTTACAGTACAGACCCAGGAGCCAGAATGCCTGGTCTTGAAAGCTGCGTCTGTCATGCATTAGTTGCTTGGTGTTGGACAAGATTCAACTATTCTGTGCCTCAGATTTCTGAACTGGGAAGTGGAGATAGCCAGAGCGGAAGAGGTTTCCGTTTCAACTCATAGGGAGCTGTGTGAGGTGAAGGGAATCAGGGAGACGGATGAAGCCACAGTCATTGAAAGGAATAACAAGCAAAACACAGTCACAGTAGAATTAAAAAAAAAACGAAAAACCCTCAAAGCAAACTACTTGAATATGCTAACCTGGTTGAAAGGGAAAATATAGACACAAAATGAAAGTTTTTCCTCCACAATAAACGGGCTGGTAAACTCATGCCCATGGATTGAGTCTGGCCTACTGCTATTGTTTGCCTAGCCCACAAACCGAGAATGGATTTTGTATTTGAAAATGATTTTTAAAAATGAAAAAAGAATACTTCACGATGTGTGACAATTATGTGAAATTCAGTGTCTATAAATTAATTCGAACACAGCCATTTGATCGTTTATGGATCATCTCTGGCTGGTCTCACACTTCAAGGGCAGAGCTAAATTATTGGGACCTGTGTTGTATGGACCACAGGGCTTTATATATTTACTCTAAGCCTTTACAGAAAACGTTTTTGGATTCAGGCCTGGTATTAATGAGTTCATCCATGCATGAGTGTATCTCTTTACAGTTTTAGTTTCCTTGGGCATCAACTAATGTTTTGTAATAGTGTTTAATCTAGGCATGGATGAAAGCATAATTAATGTTTTCATTTTGCCCTTTACATTCACCATTTTTCAATTAGGATGGTCTTTTTGAATATTAAAATTTATAGCTTCATAGTTTAAAAAGTTATACACAGAAACCTTTTCCCCCTGCAATGCTGGGGATCAAATCCAGGGGCTCACACATGCTAGGCACCAATGAGCTGCACAACTGACCTCACAAGGAAATGCTGAAATTACTCTCTATTGCCCTGAAATACTTCCTACAGCTTTCTAAGCCATCACCGTGTTTTTGTGGGATGTAGACTAAGATAAGTAGTTGGGTTTTCCCTGCCCTTGTCATGCAGTTAGCATATGGTAGGTGTTCAGTAAATCTAAATTTGTAGTAATCTGCTGAATTCAGAAGTCTGTTGGATTGATTTGCTATGTTTCTCTTGTATGTCATAATGTTGACATATACGCTTGGTTGGTAATCAATGGAAAATCATTCATTTTCTCAACTTAAGGTTGAAGTATAGAACTTTCAAAACACCAAGAAGATTTTAAATGTCTAATGGTATAGCAATTTGCTAGACTTTGTACAAAGACATAATTAGGTAAAAATGACAAATGAGCAGTTATTGGGAGGTGATGCAACACGGCAGGCCATAAAGCCACCCAGTTATACTCAGTGCCTTCCATTTGTTATAAAGTCCTTTGACTTTCAAAGCATGCACTGTTTTTATAAAACTAAGGAAAGGATTAAATTTGCCTGCTATTGCTTGTCAAGAGTCAGTGAACACTCTTTTAGTATTGACCCAGTTACTGACTTAGTGCCCAATACATTCACATAAACCATCAGTATATACATGCAAAGATTCTTCTTCCCCCTTGAAAAAATATGAAGAAGGGACGATGGAGTTCTCTTTTAACAGTATTTTCTTACAAAGTGGGAAGGGTAGGGGAAAGTTAATAAGGGAAAATAAAAAAATATGAGAAAACGAACAAATGGAAATGAAGTGTTTATAAAGGGGGAGGGGAGGAGGGGGTGATGGGAGGGCAGGAGTAAGGGGAAAAATGAGAACCAAGACTTGTCATGTAGAGGTACAAGATCCCAACAATGAATGTAACTGTACTGTATACCTAGAATGTACCAATAAACTCAATGAGGAAAAAAATTTTTTCTTTCAACTCTAAAATATAAAGCCAGTTGGTCATTTGTAACAATTTCTCTCTTCCCTTCCCTTCCCTTCTCCCCCTCTTTCCCACCTCTCTCTTCATAGTATCAAGGATCAAACCCAGGGTCTGGTGCATGCTAGACACAAGCCCTTAATTTCTAAGCTACACTTCCATCCCTTTCTATTTATGTATTTATTTATTTTTAATTTGAAACAGGTTCTCCCTAAGTTGCTTAGGCTGGACTTGGACTTGCAATCTTCCTACTTCCGCCTCCAAAGTAGCTAGAATTATAGGCATTTACTACTGTGCCTTGCAAGAATTTTTGACAAGCTGAGTCTTTACTTCATTTCTTTTTCTGTAGCACTCAGGTTCAAACCCAGGGTTTTACACTGAGCTACACGCCCAGCCTTTCTTTCTTTCTTTCTTTCTTTCTTTCTTTCTTTCTTTCAATTCTCAACTTTGAGGCAGGATCTCACTAAATTGCTGAAGCTAGGCTTGAATGAGTTGTCTTCCAGTCTCAGCCTCCCGAGGAGCTGAGATTGTATGTGTGTGCCGCCATGCTGGCCATAAGATGTGATTTTACAGCAAACATGTTCATGTCACCGGTCATGCCTCTGAGTTTGGTCCCACTTGTGTCCTATTGGGGTTATGCTATCATTTGGAATAAATCATTTTATATGTATGATCATTTAGACTATTTTTTTAGTGCTCTTTTATTTTTTCTTTTTCACATAACATTTCCTGAAGATGTTTACATTTTAAAATATTCAACGTTTTTATACATTGAAAGCAGAACCAGATGAGAACAGTGAAAATTAATTGGGTCTGTATAACGTAACATTCCAGAATGTTTAGTGTGATCAGTGCTGAAAAGGGAGTTCTTTACCCTGTTGCAGGATGTAGAACCTTTTAAATTTTTATTAACGCATTAAAATATAAATCATTTATTCTGGTGATATAGCAATGGATTTGAACTATCAAAACATTGCAAATATCCAGAAATGAATTTATATTATTTATCCCAAAAATAAAATATGAAAATTTGCTCTCCCAAAGGCAATAAATATGCATAGCCTAGGGCCTGGCACATAATACATGCAAAAAAGTAGTTACATAATGATATGTGCTAAGACTCTGGGCTCCTGCTATCAGACTAAGTGTGAATCCTGCTTACTATATTTATAGCTTATGTTATCCTATTTATGTTTTTTGTGATCTATGGCAAATGTCTCAAGCTTCCCAGCCCTCAATCACTTTATTTGTGGAATGGGAGCAATAATAGGATCTATTCAATAGGATTAAACAAGATAAGCAACACAAACTGCTTACCAGGGTCTGAACTAGAAATGAGTGTTGTGTTGGTATTATCATTGTTGTGGTTCTTGTTATCCTCACTATTTTGTGATTTTAATACACAGGTACCTGTGAATGCCAGTGTGAACTGTGATGTTTCTAATGCTTGATCTGAGAGTCCTGAAGTATGAAATAAAGACTGAGCAGCTCCCATTTCTCTTTTAGGTTCAAGTGTTGGCCTTTTTATCTATGCTGCTCTCCAGAGGATGCTGATTGACTTCTATGGACTGGATGGATGCCTGCTGATAGTCGGTGCTTTAGCTTTAAATATATTAGCCTGTGGCAGCTTGATGAGACCCCTACAGGTCTCTGATTGTCCTTTGCCTGAAAAAACAGCTCCAGAAAATGTGCCAGACAGATACTCCATTTACAATGAAAGAGTAAAGAGCCAGGAAGAAAACATAAACATTCTGGAGAAGAGCTACAGTAATGAGGCAAAATGCAAAGGTGCTTCTGCCAACCGTGACTGGAAACAGGAGAATCTTCTGCATAAAAGCCCCACAACAGTGGCACATGCAAAGGAACCTGAAACTTACAAACAGAAAGTTGCAGAACAAACATATTTTTGCAAACAACTTGCCAAGAGGAAGTGGCAGTTGTATAAAAACTACTGCAGCGAAACTGTTTCTCTGTTTAAAAACAAAGTATTCTCAGCACTTTTCATCGCTATCTTACTTTTTGACATTGGGGGGTTTCCACCTTCATTACTTATGGAAGATGTAGCAAGAAGTTCCAATGTAAAAGAAGAGGAGTCTATTATGCCTCTTATTTCCATTATAGGCATTATGACAGCAGTTGGTAAACTTCTTTTAGGGATATTGGCTGACTTCAAGTGGATTAATACCTTATATCTTTATGTAGCTACCTTAATAATAATGGGCTTGGCCTTGTGTGCAATTCCGTTTGCAAAAAGTTATGTCACATTGGCAATACTTTCTGCGATTCTAGGGTTTCTTACTGGTAATTGGTCCATCTTCCCATATGTGACTACCAAGACTGTGGGAATTGAAAAGTTAGCTCATGCCTATGGAATATTAATGTTTTTTGCTGGACTCGGAAATAGCCTTGGACCACCAATTATTGGTAAGATATTTATCTTTAAATCAACTCAGTTTACTCTTCTTCATTTAAATATCTCCAGATACAGAGATTCGGAGTCTATTAACAGCATAGATTTGTGAAGAATAAATCTGTATGGAATAGCTCATGATGTATTTGTGATCACCTTGCTATGGTTGAGAAAGCCAGTAGACTTTCTCTGTTTTCGTGTCTGTTCTTTTATTTAGGAGAAACTCAAAATGCTTGCTTCTTGTCTAACTTCTTTTTTCTTTTTAGAAAAACATTAAAATATATTTTCATTCATCCTATTAAATTTACCAAATATTAGGTTTAAATGCATATTTGTTGTTTTGGTTTTAGTTTTGGGGACTGAACTCAAGGCCTCAACACTGAGCTATATCACCAGCTCTTATTTATTTATTTATTTATTTTAATTTTGAGACAGGTCTCGCTAAGTCACTAAATTGCCCAGGCTGCGGTTCCACCCAGAGTGCTGGGATAAGGGTATCATATATTTTGATCTTATTCATTCCCATTACTCTCCATTACATCTCCTTTAGCATCTAAGTATTTAAGATTACCCGCTTCTAAAGCCTAGTCATTCATGTTGGAAGTACTATTGTTCCTAAGTATACATAAAATTGATTAAAATTAGAGTAGGGCTTGACATTCACACTAGTTTTGAGAAACTCAGTTTTGTATTACTGTCTTTTCAGGTTGGTTTTACGACTGGACCCAGACCTACGACATTGCATTTTATTTTAGTGGCCTGTGCGTCCTGCTGGGAGGTTTTATTCTGCTGCTGGCAGCCTTGGCCCCCTGGGATACGTGTAAAAAACAACTCCCTAAACGAACACCAACAACTTTTTTGTACAAAGTTGCCTCTAATGTTTAGAGGACTATTGGAAGACACTATTTTTTGCCACTTTATACCATATAGCAAAGAATATTTTAACAATTTTCAACCAAACTCTAGAGTCAAGACTGTTTTCTCATCACAGGTTTTGACTGTGGCTGACTCTGAATGCATTTTTAAAATTTTTATATATGCTACTCTTTATGTATTCTGTGTGTAGCCTTTATTCCCTGTGCCCTCCTCCCCTAAGAAATAGGACTACTTTTTATTGTTCTTTATTAGTTCTTAACATTATGAAACTTGATGAGCTCCTGAAGTCTTTCTCTGCATAAAGAAGTATGAATTCTCTGCTAACTCTTTAGTTCTACTGCAAGAGGCCCAGCATCTCTTGGCCTTTGAAAACGATGCAAGCCTCATGATAGGGTATGCATGAAGGCCATGAGGCAATAAATCCCTCTCTGTGGTAGACCTTCGTGTCAACAGACTCCAAGCCACTTCATCAGGAAGCAAGAGTAGTTATTCTACAGCACTAAGACTTGCAGTGGAACAACTGATCACTTACAAGATACTTTCTAGTCATCCGTTTCCATTGTTTCATTTTACTAGCCTTGATTTCACACTCATGTGGTATTTGGTGCCCTCAGCGCAGAAACCCTTTCTGTTCCTAAGGTGTTTGCTGGGATGCAGGCAGACCCCGAGCAGAGGAGTAGCCTTGCTTCATGGTTGGCCACGAGACCTTTGCTCATTTGTGTTTGTCAACATCCACTTAGCTACCGTTCCCCAGGACGTGCTGACTTCACCAGCTTCCACATAGGAAATGCATTTTTCAACCATTCCAGCTGGCAAATGGGGTACTTCCATTTGCTTTTGGCACCGTGGGGATGGGTTGCAAGTACTTGCATATCTTCTCAATGAAGCATTTGTTTGCTACAATCAGATTTTTCTACCATCACATTTTAATTCAAGGCCAGAACAAAAAAGTGTGTGTGTGTGTGTGTGTGTGTGTGTGTGTGTGTGTGTATGTGTGTGCTAAGTCTACATGGGACATGGGAAGGAAAAGAAGAAATCAGAAATTGATACCTTTCTCTAACCTTGCTTAAATTCTAGGAAGAAAATAATGTTTAATGAATTGATATTGAAATCATGAAAAAAGTGGGTTATAAACATTGGCATGCATCAGAATCCCTTTCTGACCCTTTAAAAAATATAGGTACCTGAGTACCATGCTTAGAGATTTTAGTTTAATTCTATAGATTTAGGCTGTGACCCAAACATGTACATTTTTAACAAGTTCTTCAAGTGATTCTGATAACATAGCCTGGGTTAAGAATGGCTGTTAGAAGATTGGAAATAGAAAAACATTTATTCTTATAAATTAAAAAAAAACCTGAGGTCAGAGGCTTTTATAAATAAATAGCCAAGTGTTTCTTTTTATATGAGAGGCACCCTTCCCATTGTGCCAAACTTGTCATTTCATTTCTTTGAAACACATAAACCATTTTATTTTATACTTCTATGTTGCTTTCCTTGGAAGGCACTTGAGGCACTTTATGAGCACAATCCCTTACGACCCTCTGTGAAAATGGTAAACAGTACTTTCCTGTGTAGTATGGAGAATGCACAAAGGAATTAACCCCACTCAGTAATGCAATAACGGGGCTTTGGGGTACCCCAGACCTCTGCTCCATACCTTCAGACTTCCGGAAAGTTTTCTGTACCTCATCCTTAGTCCCTGAAAAAGTTAGTAAATAAAATAAGTGACATTTAAAAGAAAAACATTACATGTTTTTGTGTTGAAGGTTCTTTGTTACCAGTATTATGTTTGAGAAAATCCAATAACCTGGAAAAGTTTGACTTTTACAACCTCTCCACATTCATCAATGTTGTCAATTGTCCAAATATAGCATCACCACGTCTACTGATGTCATCCAATGTGTGCATTTTCCACTGTTTAGGGAATGAATTTTAAATTACAATAAAATATTTTTGGGGTTTTTTGCATCAGTTCAGTTGCTTTCTTTCCTCTTAGTTTTCTTCCCAACGTAGTGACACTTCACTTGAATGTAAACAGAAATTATCCGAGGTAATTCAGACTCCAGAATTTGATGGTCCAACAAGAGAGCATGTCAAAAAACAATCTGCTGAAGTTAACTACCTTGTTGCTTTCCAAAAAGCTGGCATAGCAGGACTGCTTAAAGCACTTGAGAAGAAGACACATTCCTCTGTGACATTATCAATAAAAGTCTCACTTATCACTGTGTTGCTCAAGCTGATCTCAAACAATCCTCTTACCTCAGTCACTCGAGCAGTGATATTAGAGTCTCAAGCCGCCAAGCCCAGCTTAACAATTTATAGAATTTTTTATGTTCCAAGTTTATATTACTTATAGCTAATGATAACCCTGTGTCCTAGTGATTAATGCTCGTTTTGTAAAAACCTATAATTGTCGTAGTGATCTGAACAATATAAACGTATAAGTAATTTTCAAAGGCAGAATGAAAAAGATTTCACTTTCTAGAAAGCAAATAAACGCTTTAATTCCCTTAGGAAGCGGGGCTTTGTGGGGAGGGCAGCTATCAAACCAATTTTCTTAGTGAATAGAGAAGTCACTGTTATGTAAATAGTTTTTTCAGGACTTGTCCATATCCCTAGAAATGGTATTTAAAAAACATACTTAACAGAATTTACATTGGATTAAAACAAAAACCTCCTTTTGTGACTCTGATACTTCTGGACCCCGGAAGTGGCTTGGGCTGAGTTTGGGAAAGTTGAGGAGCGACAGTTTGTTAAGAACCCTCCTCCCTGGCTGGTTCGGCAGCTCCTCACTCCTCTCTGCTTCTCACCTCTCCCCGGGTGAGCCTCCAAGGTGCCAGGTGGTGTCTAATTCTCTGCAGGGTAATCAGGAGAGAGGTGAAGCCCCATGAGGAGCAAGTTCCAAGAAGTAGGAGTTCCAGCCTGGGGAGGTCATGACCGGATGGTCCGTGCCGATGAAGCAGTCCCATGTGACCTTGGGTAGCTGCAACTGCCGCCAATTACAGTAGTGTAGGGTTATCCACTCACACAGTGTTCCAGGAAATGAAAGGGCTCTATTTTAAAGAAAAGAATGTCGCGCTTCCTCTTTTATAGGAGGAGGAGTATTATACTGAACACACAAAATACACAATTTACATTAGCACTTTACATGCAATTTCTCCTCTGTAATCATAATCTTGGGACCTTTGCCTTAGTGTCAGATGTGTGCCAAGGATATAAGATCAGTGTGAGTAAGGAGTTCACCAGTCAGTTCCGGTGATGGAGCTGTATGAGGGCACAGACACTACTGGGTGAAGAGGTATAAATACTCATAAAGGTTATGACTCCACACCCAGGTGCCTGGGGCTCAAATCTTAGCTCAGTCACTGTGGCCGGGTGATTGTCAACAAATTATTAGCTTCTCAAAGCCTCCGTTTCCTCACTTATGAAAAACACCATAGGGTTATAGTGGAAATTAAATAGGACAATCTATAGGGTTGCCTGGCACGTGATAGATGTCCAATAAATATTAGCTATTATTATTCTCGTTATTCTCAAGAATGTGGCTTCCTAGTGCTTGCTGTACCTGGAGGAGGGTGTTCCCAGGCACAGGTGTGGGGTGAGTAATGGTATTCAAGAGCTGCATTTAGTAGGGCAACAATGAGCTTCCCGTTATCCCCAACTTGTACAACTGTCACAGCTGCTGTCCTCTCTCAAACATACGCTCGTCAAAATCTTTTCTCCTTCGGAATCCATGACTCAGCACATTTTTTCTGGATTTGCCATCAAGAAGCTCAGACACAAAACAAAACACACTCTGTTCCTCCACAGTCCTATTGAATCCCCTTTGTAAGCTGAATTGCTATGAAAAAATGAACTTTCATGTTTTTTACCTCAAGAGCTCACATGTGAGCTGCTTACAAGCTGGGTCTGAAATGGGACAGAAAGAAAAATAATCTGATTTGTTTACTGAGCGCTAATTGGCTTCAGCTCAGCCCTCCCTGCCTGCCCACGAGGCCTTTAAGACTTACTCTTGAGGGAGTACAGTAACTTGCCAAGTCTTCTGGGATTCTCTTCTTAGCAGATCTCAGTCACATTGGTTACTTTATACCAATCCATTTCGTGCACTACAGAGTCATTTACTTTTATGCTTTTCGCTTACAAAAAGGAAAGAAAAAGCCACTTTTTTTGTTGTTACTTTTTTGTTTGTTTTTTTGAGACAGGGTCTGATTATGTAGCTCAGGCTGAGATTGAACTCAATGTATAGCCCAGGCTTCCTTGAACTGGCATCCTCCTGTCTCATCCTCCTAAGGGCTGGGATTACAGGCGTGTACCACCACACATAGTAGGAAAAAAAAATTTAAATATTGGTTGTTTGCTAAGTGGCATTCTAAAACCTTTGGTAAACAATATTTTCAATTAAAAATTCAGCTTTTTTGAATACAATATAATTTTTTGAATATGATATTCATAATTTGAATACAATAATTGAATAATAACTTTCAATAAAAAATAACTGTGATCAAGCTGCCCTACTATATAGGCCACCTTAAAATTACATGGCCACCAGCATATGTCTTTCTTTTTCTTAGAAATGTTTCTGATACGAGAAAGGAAGTTTTTAATTGCTCTGACGTAGATCTGAAAATGCCTGGATGTTTACAGCTTTAATAGGAAGATTGGTAATAGTAGCTCACATGACTCTAGGATCTTAACAAAGGGGAGTGGTGCTTTCCGAAGAGAGGTCCTTAATTAGCTTCCTGTATGCAAACTGTTTAATATTGAGTTTCCTAGCAGGAAGCACAATGAAAACCTATATCCCTGTACAGTGGAATAATGGCACGCAGGAAGGGTTATCAGAGTAAAGCAAGAGACTGAAATTTTCCCTGAGGTTTATTGTGTGCCCGATATTGTTCTGTCCCAGCCATGTGAGTCCTTGTCTCATAAAAGATGGAAATCAGCAATGGACTAGCTCTAAAGCAAAAAAAGATAAGACAATTGCATTTTAGGAAAGAAACACAACTGGTTATCCCATCAGAAGAGCAGAGCAGAACAGCAGATTTAATTAGTGCAGAGACAGACCGTCCTCAGAAAGGAAAACAAAGCAGGTTATTCGACTGGTGGAACAGCACTGAACAAAGAATTTATTTTGTACTTGTGGGGTCTCAAAAGAACGTCACATATCATTCATTTTTTTCCCCTAAAAGTGCAGGGT